TTCCCCATCCACTTCCCTGCTGTAGTCGTTTCTGGCGGAACATGGCTTTGCTGGGGCGCTGAGGGAGCTGGAGAGAGAGTCTGGTCTGGTGTCGGAGGAGGCGCTGGCAGCCACCCGAGGTGCCCGCGACTTGCTCTATCTACGGGACTTGGTGCTAGATGGCGAGTTTGACACTGCTCTGGCGTATCTAGCTCCGTTGGAGGCTTCGTTGAAGGATGGATATGTTGCTGCTTGTCGTGAGATTATGACTCAGCGCTTGCTAGAGCTGCTGTTCGTGCAGGACGCACCTGATGCTGCTGCCGTGGGTGCAGTCCTTGATGCCCTGCGCGCGGTCTCGTCCAAGGATGAGTACAACGAGCTCTGCTTCTTGCTTACTCTTGACGACCTCTCTGCTGCCCCGCAGTATGCGGATTGGTCACCAGCCCGTGGTCGCGCCCGCTGCTTTGACGCTCTCCTCGACGTTCTGGTCCTTGTCGGGCCCGACGGCTCGCGGCTCTCGCTCTTCTCGCCGTCCAAGTCGGTTGCTGTCCGTGCCGAGCCGCCGCCGCGGCAGCGGATGGAGACCCTGCTCTCGCATGCACTGCAGCATCAGATTGCTCGCCTCTCCGCAGCCTCCGACTCGGGCTTGGTCCGTCCGCGCCTCCCAGCCTACGTCTCGCTCCTCGCGCCCCCGCAGCTGCCAGAGGCTGCGGATCCGCTTGCCTCTCGCCCGGTCCTTGAGCCGACGATCTCCCTCGAGCCGCCGAAGCTCGCCTCGGCCCGGCGCAAGGAGCTCACTTCCGCCGTCGCCGCCTCGACGGTGTGCTTCCCGTCGGGCGCGCTCCGGTCGATGGCCCGCGCCAATCCGCGGACCGCACCCGGGCCGGCAGCCGACAACACACCGGCCCAAGCTGGGCCGCCGACCGCATCGCCCGCTGCACCGTCCGGCGACACCTTTGCTGCCCGTCGACGCCTGGCAAAGTCGATGGCCGCGCCAACCATGACCTCGCTTGCCCACGAAGTCGCCCCTGCCTCGCCCAACTCGCCCAACATGCGCTCGGCTTCCGGGGCAACCACGCCTCCTGATTCTGCGCCGCCTGTGCCATCGCCGGCTCCAGCACCGAGGCCGACGCCGGCGCCGAGTACGCCAACTCCTGCCCAAGTTGCCACGCACAGTGACGACGACGAAGGCGATGAGACAGCATCTGACGACGCGCTGCTCTCGTCGCAGCTAATGTTTGTGCCGCTCTCACCGGCTAAGGTCCGGACCGACCGCAAGCGGTCGCGCCAGCCGGCCAAGCGTGAGGCTGCGCGCGTGACGCCGAGCTCGCCGTCGTCGATCGATGCCAGCTCTGATACTGGCCGCGACCCGCTGCATCTCACCCAGGCCCAACGGCGGCGGATGAAGCAGCTGCAGCAGTCGCTCAATGCCAAGGATCAGGCGCGCAAGGAGCGCGCAGCCGCCGCCAAGGCCCAGCGGCGGACACACTCTGCATCAACGGTCCGGAAGACCGGCGCGCCCGAGTCGTCGGCCGAGACCAGAGCCCGCCCGCGGACTGGCTCCGATGCCCGTCGCCAGCACGCTCGAGAGAACGAGCGCTCTGACTGCGACTCGCCAGCCCGAGCTCGAGTCTCGCGCTCTGCACACGGGCGCGCGCTGCTCGGTAAGGGCCCGATGGCTGCTGTCGGAACCGCCTCGCCGGTGTCTGCCGCCGACCACCCGCGGTCGCGGCGTGAGCAGATTAAGGAGGCCAAGGCCGAGGCCTGGCTTGCCCACACCATGGACGCCATCCACTCGATCCAGCTTGCCAACCGCAAGTCAATCGAAGTCAAGCAAGTTGATGGCGGGAGCAAGGACCACTCGCCTGTCCGTGCCTCTCGCCCACCGCGCTCTGCGGTTGTGCCTTCGCCACAGCACGCGTCGTCGCCAACGGCCCACAAGTTTAACGCGGCTCGTGACTCGCTCGGCCGTGCGCCGTCGCCCGTCCGGGCGCGGCGGCCGCACACGGCGTCGTCCGCGCGGTCGTCGGTCGACGCCAGCCGCGATGCTGCATCTGAAGGGCCTTCGATGGCGGCTTCACGGTCCAGGGAGAGCTCACCGCTTCCTTCCGGCCTGGCCTCGCTGGAGCTGACCGGAGGCGGGAGGTCGCCCGAGCCGGTGACGCGCCCGATCTTTGACCGCGTTCGCCCCGCCTACCTCTACCGCGACGTGCAGGCCATCCGGTGCATTTCCTTTGACGAGGTGAGCGGAGACGGGCTTGTGGTGGGAACCAACTCGAAGAAGCTGCTTATTGGCCGCACACCGCGCGATCTAGTCGCAGGCGAGATGCCCGGCCGCCTTGACTTTGACACCACGCTCGACAAGTACCACATGGGCTCGGTGTACTGTGTGGCATGGCATGGTGCCGCCACGTCGCAGACCGCGCTGATTGCCTCGGGCTCCAACTCAAAGGTGATCAAGGTGTACGCGCCCAGCTCGCGGGCCACGGTCGTCCTTCGCGGGCACTCGGGGACTGTTCGCGACCTGGCGTTTGCGCCGGGATCGACGGTCTTGTACTCGGGCGGTGCGGGACGCGCCAAAGTCAAGATTTGGGACGTCGGGACTGGCGTGGCGTCGGCGACGCTTGCGGGCCATACTGGGCACGTGTACGCGGTTCGCGGCGGTGTTGGAAGCACCGAGCCGGAGCATGGTGTGGTGTCGGCTGGCCTCGACGGGACGGTACGGATGTGGGACGCGCGTGCGAGTGTGCCGCTCGTCTCGACACTGCATCTCAGCGATGAAGTGTACGGCTTGGACGTCGGCCGGGTCGGAAGCCTCGTTGGCGTCGGGCTCGCGTCGGGCGTCCTGGAGCTCCACGACATGCGCCGGATGGTGGCGGGCGCGCCGCTCGTCTCGGCTCCGCTGCACACCGATGCCATCAAGTCTGTGGCGCTCAAGGGGGGCTACGTGCTGACCGGCTCGTACGACGGATGCGTGGTGGTGGCAGACACTACGTCACTGCGGACGCAGGGGTGCTACAAGGCGCACGACGGCAAAGTCATCCAAGTCGCTTGGCACCCGCGGATCGACGGGGTCTTTGCGTCGTCGTCGGCCGACAAGACGGCGCGGGTATGGGCGCCAAGCAGCTAAAAGCCAGCCACAGCAGCGAACAAGGACGTGTCACTTTTTACTCGGGTACGGGGAGGCCGAGCGCCTTGAGATCGGCGTGGTAGGTCTTGACCGCCATCAAGTCCTCCTGAACGACCTCCATCAGCTCGTTGATAGCGACGTCGAGGTTGTCGTTGACAATGATGACGTCGGCGATGTTGTGCTCGCGGATGTAGGCCATGTCTGCTTTGGCAGCGGTGAGGCGGAGCTGGATAGCGTCCTCGGTCTCTGTCCCGCGCGAGCGAAGCCGGGTCTCCAGATCCTCCATGGAAGGCGGGAAGACGACGACGATGCGGGCGTCGAGGTTCGAGTCGCGGATGGCGAGCACGCCCTGCAGCTCAACGTCGAGGATGCAGATCTTGCCCTTCTCAGCGACCGACTGGACAGCAGCAAAGGAGGTGCCGTACATGTTTGCCGAGAAGGTGGCTGACTCAATGAACAGGCCACGGGCCACATCGGCCACCATCTGGTCCTTGCTGATGTAGTGGTAGTCGACGCCATCAACCTCACCAGCCCGGGGCTTGCGGGTGGTGTGGGAGACGGAGAAGCCAAAGCAGCCCGGGTTCTCTGCCAGAATCCGCTTGATCATGGACGACTTGCCCACACCAGATGGGCCAGAGAGCACAAGCGGGCGGACTGCAGGCGGAGGGGGCACTCCATCGCTGCCGTTGCCCGTGGCAGACGCCATGCTCCGCGAGGTGAGGATGTACCACCCGGTCGTCGTTGCCCCGGCCGCAGCCATGACCTTGGTCAGCGAGCGCAGCATGGTTGTGTGAAGGGAAGTAGGGTGGGTGGTGGGTGTGGGAGGGGGGAGGATGTGAAGAGAGGTGGAGGGGGGTGGCCGGGGGTGGCTGGCTGGGGGTGGTGGTGGCGTGGGTGTGGGTGTGGCCGTGTGTGCGTTGGCTTTTGCCAAGTTGGCTTGGTGGTTGGCCAATGAGACGTTTGCGGCGCGAGACGGCGGCGGCGGGCGCGCGCGCGCTTGGGCGTAGTGGTGGCCATGGTGACGGTGGCTGGATATGGTGCGCGTAGTGGGCGTGCGCAGTTGATGTGGTGAGGTAGCGGCAGCAGTTTTGGTTGGCTGGTTGGATGCAGACTGGCTGATGTGTAGCTTTGGTGTGTAGCTTTGGGATGTCGGGCTGGGCTTGATCTCGGCTACGGCTGGACGCGGACGCGACCACGGCGGCGTGGTTGGCGACCACGGCTGCGGTTTGTGGCCCGGTTTCCACGGCCTCGGCCTCGTTGGCCAGGCGTGGTGTTGACTGAGGCGAGGACGCGGGCTTTGCGCACCTGGCGCTCGCGCTTGTTGTGGTCCATCAGTTCGCGCCGAGTCATGACCGGCGACGGCGGCGGTCGCTTGCTCAGTGCGTCCATTCGCCGGGCGTGCCGGCGAGTCGAGACCGAGGCAGCAGCGGTATCAGTTCGTCGGCTGGGAACGGCGGGACTGGCAGCGTCAAATGGATTCGACTCGCCGCGGGTGGCGGCCATGCCAGCCAGCGCACTACTGCTTTTGCGCGGCGGACGCGTCGGGGCCGCGCCCTTTCGCGGGCGGCGTGACGATGCCAGCATCTCGGCCTCAAAGTCGTCCTCCCACGGATCGCGGAGCTGTGAGGCGAGGAAGAGCTCGAGCTCGTGGAGAGTGAGGCCCTTGAGCTCGGGCCGTTCCGCGACTACAGCAGCGAGAGCAGCCTGTTTGAGCGCCTCTCGTTCCGGGAGTGCCGCGGCTGCGGGTGCCGGGGCTGCGGGGGGAGCGGCGGACGCCGGCTGCTGCTTTTGAGCGACAGCCTTGGCCGCCCGCTTCTCGCGACGCGACGTGCGGGAGCCGCGTACAACTTCAACCCGCTGCACAGGGCCGCCGATGCGGCCCATGGGGTCGGTGGGCGGCGGCGCGCTGGACGGGGCCGGAGCTGCGACGTAGCCTGGGGGCGGATGGGCGTGGCCAGGCGGTACGTAGCCGGGATGGAGAGCCTGCGGATGCGGACGGGCCTGCAGCTGGCCCCACATTGCGTGAAGTTGATGCTGGTGCATTTGGTGCATGTGGTGCATGTGAGCTCGATGGGCCTCGATCTGGGCCTGCTGCTCGCGTAGTAGCTGCTGCTGGGCGGCGAGTTGGTGCTGGGCGGCAGCCTGTTGGGCAGCAGCAGCTTCGGCAGCATCAGCAGCGTCGCGAGCAGCCATTGCTGCCTGGTGCTCCTTGGCCTGCGCGGCGGCAATAGCTTGCGGGGACGCGGCCTTGGCTGCCGCCAGCTGCTTTTCCAGCCGCGGGTTGACCAGTTTGCGTCGTTCACCCCGCGGCGGCGCCCGGGTTGATGGCGTCGGAGGTTCTCCTTCAAAGTGCTCATCGTCCTCGTCATAGT